CTGAACACAAATAAACACATGCAGTGCCTGCCCCCTTTGTGGTAGTCTCTATGTCTGGAAATTTTGTATAATGATTACAGTAGTTCGGTTAATGTTTTGTACGTAAAATCAACTTCCACATGAATATGTTGCTTAAACAGTACGAGTGTATGTGTGTATGTGTGGGTGTGTGCTCATATGAAAATGTGATTAGAATTTGCATTTCTATATATATGAGTAGAGCATAAGTTTGTTTTTTTTTGTTGTTTGTGTGAGAGTGTACACTTTAATGGTAGTTACTTACGTACAAAAGTCAGCTTTGTAAATTTAACCATATATGACACCGAGTTTATTTGTAAGGCTCTGTCGGTGTGAGTGTGTGTGCGGGAGTAACGGTGTGTTGCGGGCATATGTATGGGTGTGGTTGACCAACATGTCAATGTTTGGCATTTCAGCACGTTCTGTTAATAGACCAGAATTTGCAGCAGATTTAAAGGATTATTACGTTGTGTACAGAAAAGTTACACAGACCATGTTACGTCGAGTAGCTGCTGCCTGTACGAATACACAATAATAACACAAAAACACAATAACACAAAATCAGAAATTAAATTTCACTTGCAGAAATTGAATTTGTATTATTTTATTTTTGAATTCTGGCTCTATTGGTTTGCATTTTCGTGCACATGTTTTCTATGGTCAGCTACATATTTTCCAATATTTTCTTTCTATTCTATTCTATTTTATTCTTGTTTTCCAATAGCCTTATTTTCATAAAATTTTAATTAAAACTCGAAATTTATAACGCTTGCTCTTAGCTGAGGTTGAAATTTATGCATTTCCGAATGAAAACTATAATTCTGGTGTACAAAATAGATCCACAGTTGCATTACGTAGTACTGAAAATTCCACAAAATTGTATTCAATTTACTTTTAAATAGAAAATGCATTTACTTGTTATTCCTACAGTGAAATAAATTTTTTCCAATTTTATTCTGTTCGTTACAGTTTTACTAAAGTATATTCCTCAGTTACACAATGGAACCTTTGCATTCCCGAAATTCTTTTTTTCTGTAAAATAAACCAGAGGAATGAATTCATTTGTTACAAAAGAAGCTATTGTATTTTAGTTATGTTAAGAGGTTTACTCGTAATGATTTTCAGTTTTTGATATTGATATTACCTACTTGAATGTCACCAATGTAGAAGATGCTTCATTGGGCTCAGAAAAGAATACAAATTCCCCTAACATTCACCCTCGCTTCAATTACATAAAACATTTCCTAATTAAAAATCATAAATGTAGGTGATGATTCCTTGGATTCAGGAAGGATACTCTCTCCCCCTTCTCACAATATTTAACATTACCTTATTAAATAACATCAATGCAGGGATGATTCCTTGGATGCAGGAAGTATCCTCTCTTCCCATTCCTGCAACATATAGCATTACTTGATTAAGTATCATCAATGCGGAGATGATTCCTTGACTTCGTGTATACAATTACACTATGATTTTTCGATAATTTCCCGAGATGCTATATGAAAGAAAAGAAAAGTCTCCCCCTAAAAAATTTTCAGTGGAAGCACCCTCAATAGTTCCTACACATTGCTTGAGTTATATATCAGTTCATAATATACTTTCATTTGTAACAATACTTTTACAGCTCTTCTACCTAACTGCAGGAAAACATCTATATCAGAACTAGTTAACACACTAAATATCTTGAATCTCTGTTATGAGCAGTTCCTAATCTATTGAATATCCTACTCATTCGGAAAAACACTTTCTCATCTGTTGAACTTAAAGAAAAGATTTATAGCAGCACTCGCTGACACACAAAGTATTTAAAATAAACTTCTGCTCTCTATGTTTACAAGATTTTTTAGAGAGGTTTTGTAGAGTAGTTAACTACAACAACAAAAATTATTTTTTTATTT